ATTTATATTATACTTTTATTCTTATCTACTCTTTATTTTTAATAATGCAGATTCTAAAAAAATGCAGATTATTTCGTTTCCACCAAAGCTTAAAAATGATTTTTAAATTAAAAAACTTTTTTTTATGCTTTTTGAGTGAATTATCAAAAAATTAAATTTTTGACTAAAATACTAAGCAAACTATTTAATGTTATATGCTATTAATTTTAAGTGTACATAAAAAAAAAACAAAGTGATTATCGAAATTAGTGGCACAATTACTTACTAGTAAATAGTGAATTATTTACAAACGTATATTTACATACCGTTTAAGAACCACTCATAAATTGCGATAAGATAATTTAAAATTGCTAATATTAAACTAACATATGTATTTTGAGTGACATCAGTTTTTTATTTAACAACTATATAAAAGTTGGTACTTTTATTTTACAACCAAAAAAATATAACTAAATACAAAATTGTAAATCTTATCTTAAAATTATAAAATGCATTTAAAATATTATTACATTTCTTTGTTATTTTTTTATGTTACTATGACCGGTGTTTTATCCATTGTAAATGATCGTGTGTCAAAAATTAATGAATTGCTACAAAATCCACAGTGGATTAAGTTTCAAAACAGTTTGAAAGTTGTCGAGAATGGAAATGAGGAACAAGTAAATAAAATTAACAAGTTGCTTTTAGATGAAAATGATGTTATTGTTACAGAAGAAAACATTGATGAAAAAATTCAACAATTGCATTTACTTTTAAGCTGTAACTATGCCAAAGACATAAAAGATATTAATGATTTATTAAAGAGATACATGACACAATGCAAGCAAAAGGAAATCGATGTTAAGAGTTGTGAGGATGACCTTCAGAATATTTTAAATAACGTTTTCTTAACAATAAAACAAGGACAAAATATATTGTCCTTCTTCACCGATATGTCGACAACGGAGTTTGAATTTACTAATGTTGTTCCCATAGCTATCACTTCACTTCATCGTTTAACATCCTACAATTTACAAAAAACCGATTGCAAAACTGAAGAGGAACTTAATAGTCTAGATGAGTTATTGCAAACATTTATTGTCCAGAATTGTTCGCCAATTATCAATGACTTACGTGATCGAAATTTATTACAAGTTATCACTAAAGAGACGTCAAAAAAAATCTTATTTGCTATTAAATCTGGTATTCGTGAACATCTTGAACAATTCAGTAAATTCAACAGGAATTTAGGTTTTTTATATAATTTAGAGGATCAATCAGTCAGTGTGAAATCACGAATGTAATGCATAGAAAACTACATTTTTCAAAAAAATTTCTTTGTGTAGTAATTCAAACATTTTTTCTATAAAAATTATTATATTATTTTTATTTTACTAAACTTTTCTTTGTTTAATTTTAATAAATATTATACTTGTGTATGATAAGTAAATAAAAGTCATTTAAATTTGAAATATCCATTTTGTTTAGAATTACTAAACTTTTACTTGTAGTGAATTTTCTCTTCGAGTAAATTTTTGTATAAAAAAATCGTCCCAGATACGAATATAAATAGTTATTAATACAGAGATAATCTATGTTGTTACATTAAGTAAAATAGGGTGCCTGTGACGTCAGAAACTTCAATCATATTTAAAAGTGACGCTGCATAAATATACTTTGTAACTTACAGGCAATTAAATATTTTAGAAAACGTAAACAGTGTGGTTAGATACATTTTGCATTAGCTATGTAGTTAAAAACCAGATGTGTACTGACAGGTAGGGCGATCATCGTCTAGACCCTCTGTAATCACTATATTCATACATTATGTAGTCAGGAAGTTGGCAAAGTAATGCATTTTCTTTTTATTGCGCACACTTAGTATTATATAATTATCAGAATTAAAATGGAAATTTACAAAAGATTTCTGAAAAGTTAAAATTTTTATTTAAGAGCATTCATTTTTTTTGTTTATCAATTTGAAATTAATTTGAAATAATTGTGAACTACTCTGCTATAGGTGTATTATAGGAGATTTCTTGGTTCAAATTCTCTAGGATAGGAATAAAAATATTAAGACTTCAAAAATAGTTGTTACCCTATATTTTAAATTTGATATCCAAAATAATGACCCAAAGGTTTTTATCAAAGAGTCATATCCTTAATTGGATAATTTTGTATTATACAGTGATTGGGTTATCATAATATAATAAAATATAATATTGGAAAAAAATTTGTTATGTTTTAGTGGTTCGTATATATATATTTATTTTTAAATTAATTTTTATATATTAGTAATATTTCTTAAATATCTACATACATATTTAATTAGTCTAATAAAATAGAAAATAATATAATTGAGAAAATAACGATAGCAACTTTCGACCAATAGTACAAAAGTTAGACATATAGAGAGGCGCAGATATGATTATTTTTATTATTAGATATTTTTCGGCGGCACTCTCTCTTTAACCAACGTTTAAAATGTTATTCATTTTAAAGTTCTAGTCCAAAAATTGTATTCGACGTGTATTTTTTAAAATTATATTATAAGCTGCTTAAACATGTATGTTACTATTTAAACAAGTATAATTGATACTCTTGTAAGTAAAAGGGATGATGCTAAAAAGTAATTGATAGGTAAGAAATCATAAAATATATCTAAAGAAAAATATATGTAATTTTAGCTTCGATGCGAAGCTGAGAAGGTATTGGTTTTACTATGATGTGTATTTTTTTTTTTTTTTTTTTTTTTTTTTTTT